TGTGTGCAGCTTCTCCTGAAACCATTGCCAAAAAAGCAGGTACAAAACAGCTGTCAAAAAAATCGACCACCCTCCAATCCACCAAAATGGAACACTGAACAGAGTTGTTGCTTTTACAGTTTCACATTTTGTCTCCGGGCATTTCCTCAGATCATATTATTTATTCTTGTGGCGCTTGGGAAGCGCTCATGATTGCTCATGCTTTATTGCCTTGATTCACCCATGTGCAGCTCAGTAGTATTGAGAACTTGTCGGGACGGACTCGCACTTGACTACTCGTCAATTTGTCCGGAGTCGCCTACCCTAGAAGGTCTCACTTCTGAAATTGCGGAATCTATCCACTCATTTAGCCCCTTTGTAAGACTAATTGCTCTATATCCACATGTTGCTTAAATATGATATGACCTTCAGGACACGACTTTGGAACCCTTGAACTGTGATTTCTACAAAATGGTTTGCCCTCCTATCCTTTTTGGGGTGTCCTTCATTTCCCCAAACAAGCAAACAAATCAAGCAAGTAACTGTTTGTAGGGCAAACGGCATTGGGGTTTTGGGAGATCCCAGCATTCAAGTCGGCTTTCCTCCATCCCAAGTGGATTTTGTCCATCCATAGCAAATTTCGCACGGCACCGTGTTAGCGTCCTGTAGTTCAAAAGGGACTGTTTGACTTTCGATGTAGGGGGGGGTGCCCCAGAAGGAAAGTGTTTCGTCTTCCAACCCCGCTTTATGTCGAACTAGTTCAACCAGGGGCTGTAAACATAGTCTTTCTGCAAAACCTTTTGAAGGAGTTCAAAGGTAAGTATATTCACAGGGTAGCCGCTGCCCTTTTTTTTTTCTTCTTCGGAAGGGTTCCCCTTTACAGTCGACCAACCAAAAAAAGAAGGCCTTTTATTCCGCATGGTTGCTGGGCATCTGAGTATGGTTACTGAGAATATGCTCTTTTTTCATTTCTGTTTAAAAAGGAATTTATAACTACGCGAAAAGTATGTTCTCACGGGGAACGACTTAAGCAAATGGAGGTATTATCTTGGTGGCTGCCAGCCATTCCCTTAGCTTTTTAGCCTTGTAGTGTTTAGTGGTAGTTTCCAATTCACCCACTAAAAGTTCTCAACTTTTAGCGGGGGATCTGAGGGCAGCCCAGTTGTATAGTTTAGTGCCCTTTACCCTTTTTTTGGGGTACTGGCGAACGAACACACACAGACAGATGCCAAGTATATCAATAATAGTACCTCCGGTCTTATATCATTTAAAAACAAACAAAAAACATGTCGTTTTGTTTCACAAACTTCCATGGCTCCAAAACTAGGTCCCCCAGTGGTGCCCTTTTACCCTTTCTTGGGGGAGGGTTCCCCCTCTAAAATCGACTACAGCAAAACAAATCGGGTACCAACTTATTCTAACCTCTCTACTGGAGGACCTAGTATAGTTGCCCAAGACTTCCATTTGTGTAAGAATACTTCTTCATTTTTCCTGTTGGTTTTAAAAGGAATCGATTACTACTGGAAATATGTACATTTTTTCCAGGGGGCGGAAAAGCAAATGGAAGCTTTGTTCCAATTAAGCAAGTTGTTGTTTGGTTCTCTTCATTTTTAGACGCTGCAAACAACAAACCTCTCTACTGGAGGACCTAGTATAGTGGCCCAAGAGATTGAATTGGAGGAAGGGCCCCGGGTGCCAACTTTCGACCGCTGCAGGTGGCCCCGGGTGCTGGCGTCTAGAGTCGCCGCGCGCAGCCTCAGCTCAGCCGTCGCGCAGGTCGTGCGCAAGGTCGCGCGGTCTGGGTGTCTGTTCATAGCTTGTTCGAAGCGGAGTTTTTGACTGCTGTTGGGTTGGATCTTTGGACTTAAACTTTGTAGTTGAAATCAAGGGGTTTGCCACCAAACCCCCCCCAAAAAATAAACTTTTTGCAGGGGGGGGTCAACAGCAACCAAGAGTTTGTCCGTCCAACGTATGATGTTCCGGTCATTCTAAGGCCATCTGAAAAAAATGAGGATCTTTGTTTGCAGACTTTAAGCCAAGAGACCTGTTTGGACACCTGGGCCTGTTTAGTTCCTTCCCTCTTCGGCTTCATCGGCTTCATCGGCTTTCACAAGGAGCTGAGGGCTGTGGTCAAAACCGTTTTGAAAAGGTTGAATAGGGAACCCACCTCAAAACGTGGTAGGACATGAATCCGCGGCTAAATTTTGATGATCAAAGAGTCCTCAAATTCAAATTCATGCCCAAATGGCCATGGTTCAAAACCGTTTTGGGACAATTACCGTTTTGGTTGGTAGGTGAATTCACCGCCCATTTGAGGCTTCCTACTTTAGTGGTTGGATTGGGATATTCACTCAAGGTACGATTTGGCTTTTGACCCATGGCCCCATGATTTTGGTTGCGAAGGTCAAGTGTAGTTTCCCCGATGTGCTGAGAAGCGTCTGAGGCAAGGCGCGCCACATCATGTTTATCCCAGTCGGCCCAGTTGCCACAAATCGGACATGCGGAAAAGCGCTTCTGGCGGTCAGATCCTGTGTGCCTTCCAAATGGCCAATTCTCATGGGGAGGTTTTCTGGTCTCACAGAAGTGCGAGTCCATTTGAAGCCTTTCGGTCTCCTTTGGTCCCCCCAAAAAGCGACAGACCTACATGGGGGTTCCCTTCGGCCCCCAAATGACAGTGGGTCACTTTTCCCATTGAGTGGTTGAAATATCATATTTTTCGTGGTGTTCCAACCAGTGAAATTGGTCATCCCACGGAAAGGACCTTTTGATCAACTCACATTGGCGTCACTCCAAAATCCAAACCTTGTCCTGGCCATGAAACAAATATCTCTCAGTCACTCGTTTACTAGCTTATCTAAGGGTGTGTCTGGTTTGAGGCTGACGCTAAAGAAAACCGCCCAGGTTGGGGGGTTCACGATTTTGAGTCTAACATGGAATCCTTTGGGCGTCCGAGGCACGGCCACAGGCCTTCCCGGCTCGATGCTTCGCCTGGGCCCCATTCGTCAGGTTGCTCAATCCGCGTGCCGAGGTGGGGCTCCCATAGGCAAGCCATAGGCAAGTAGGTATGGCTACCAGGTGTTACGTGAATCCAGTTATATCCAGTTACTACTAGTACCCAGTTGCCCAGTGGTGCCCTTTTTTCCTTGTTTTGGGGAAGGGTTCCCCTTTAAAGTCAACCAACCAAAAAGCGGAGGCCTTCTTTTTTTCTCGCATGGTTACTGGGCATCTAAGAGAAGGCAACCAGGTATGGCTACCGATCTAGGTTTTACTTGTTTCCCCTGGTACTACCTACTATAGTGGCTTGCACTGGAAGCATTGGGTATGTCAAAATTGGCCGCCTGAAAATGCCGCGCCGAAAACGGGCGGTGCCGAAACGGCAAGAGGGATTGGCCATTTTTGTGACAACCCGCCCCCCCCCCCCCTCTGGTTACTCATAACATGAGATGGAGAAGCTCCTTAGGTGTCCATTCATGACTCTGGCGCAGTAGGTTTCGGAAAAAACTCCCGACCGGATGTCACTCACCAAACTATTTGATTGCCGTTCGGGGGTGGTGGCCGTCAACTTTTCCAGCTTCCCCCCTTCACGAGGGCTATGGAGTCTGTGATTGAGTCAGGTTGTATTGCACGCCGGGACGAAGTGAGCTTTAGGTTCGTACTGGGGATATATGTACTGCAGAGGGTGAAACCTCCAAAAGTGAAGGCGGGCCTTTAAAACAAAGGACTCTCATTGTGCATTTGGCGGCTGTTGCGGGCATGAGCAGGTCTTGAAACGCAGGCCAGAAGAAGCCTAAAACGAGGGAGGCCCTTTTTCACGAACATTTGGTTTTGTGCATATTGACTCTTCGAATTATGATAGATAAGAAATGACCGGAGGACTACGGGAGCACAACAGGAAGACTGCGAGGAGACTACAGCAGACGACAGGAACACTACAGCCAGACCACTGGAAGACTAGGGGTTGCAGGACCAAAGCATCCAAAATCGAAGGCGAGTCTTTGAATCGGCAGCTCGAGTGCGTCGGCTGCTGGGATCCTGAGGCTGCGGCGGTCAAGCCCAAGATAGAGGTGTGGGTGCCATTTGTTGCAAGCTGACACGACCGTTGGGTTTTGAAGGGAAGCGAACAGGAAGCTCCCAGCATGTTGGGGCAATTTTGAGATTTTGAGACACCCCAACATGACATGCTGGCAAGAGTCCGCTGTTGATTTGGACAGGACGCGAGGGGGGTACAATCCAAATTACCCAGAAACTCCTCAGAGGCAATCCGACAAAAATAATAGTCCCTAGGTCATGTGCGTCTTGCCCAAGTGGTGTGAGCTTTTGCAAAGAAATATCCATGTTTTATTGCCACAATGATCCACATGTTGTTGTTTTATGACGATTCAGTTGCAGACTTGTCAGGACGTGTCGACTGGGGCAGACTTTATGCAAGTGTTGCACATAACGCGCGCCAATCCCCTTCCAGAGTCTGGTCATATGCGAGGCTTGGTGTAGACCAGTAGCTACTGTGCTTGAACCAAGCACAACGCGGAACTCCGTAAGTCCTTTGCAAAAGATGACACGCTTGGGTGAAGTATGCGTCAGCCTTTTCAGAACCCTGACATGGTATCCTGCAGGAGGTTGAAGCAAATATGGTCTGAATATGTCCGAACAAATATTTGAGGTGAGCTGCATACTGTGTTTCCCCAGTTCACGCTCAGCTATAGCATAATCTTCGAGCCAACAGGCCAACAGCACTTGCTTTTCCCCTCAAACAAACATATGAGTTTGCTTCTAAATGCGGGCACCTCCAACACGGTCGTCTTCCTTTTGGCTTCCCTAAAACGGACCAAACAGGCATTCCCCCCCAAAAATAGCAGCCACGTGCATCGCCATGTGCATCACAAAAGGGGCCAAGCGGCTCACGGCAGGATGGCACGCTGGAGGGTAGGTATGCCACGGCCCTGTTCATGGCGTCCTCCAGCAAGTTGGACAAGGCAGGTTTTTTTTGCTTCGACGCGCCGCGTGCGCACAGGTGGAAACAGGGGTCATTATTTTGACGGGTTCTGGGGGGTATCAAAGTCAGAAATGGGTTGGACTTGTTTCCCTTTAACGCACCACTGAGGGGGTGACTTTGACCATGGTAAAATAGCCACGTCCTCAAAACCGATTCGGGTAGATGACTCGGTTAGTAAGGGACAATCCCCTTGCCATAAATAGCTGCGGAAATCCGCCTTCTTAATTCTTGAAGCATGGTTCTGGGTCGACCATTTTAGTACTGGGTTTTGATTATGACTCACAGGAGGAAAGTATTGAGGTTGATCGAAAGGTGCTTTACATGGGATGACCAGGGAAGCCACACAAAGACAGATTGACTTTCACTAAATGGGACGAGTTACTGGTCAAAGCTGGGGGCCCCAATGGGAATATTGAGCAAGCCGCAAATATATATATATATATATACATATGTTTTGCCAAAATTCCCATGAGATTCCCAGTTCCCAATAGCAATTACTGGTGGGCGGGTGGCACTGCTGGTCCTGAGCGGGCTCCAGTGTCGCCTCGTTTGTGTTGCTTGCGAGGTGCTGCGTGTTTTGGAGCTCGCGATCTACTGTTGCTGGGTTTTTGTTGGTTCCCCGGCTCTGTTTGGTTTTTAGCCCAGTCGCTGATTGCCCGTGGATAGGTCCGTATGGCGCCGAATGGCATCCATAGCCCAGCACGGCGATCTTCACGATTGCAGCGAGGGATTCCACGGCGAGCGAAACCCTCGCGGTTTTTGGGCTTTGGGGGGCTAACTCCAAAAATCCGAAAATCCCACCTATTGAGGGCCTATTGAACACCCTCCCATCATTCGAGTGAGGGCATTGCAAGTAACTTGGTGGCTCCCAGCCATCCCCTTGGCTTTTTCGCTTTTTTTTAGCCTTTTAGTGTTTAGTGGGGATTTGCATTTGACCCACTAAAAGTTAAGCTTTTAGCGGGGGATCTGCGGACAGCCCAGGTAATAGAGGTGCCGTTTGATCTTTTTCTTGGATTCCCATGAGGCGGCTGGCTGCATACAACTCTAGCTCCACTAGCCAGCTTCACTAGCCTCATTTGTCTGACGTGGGGAAGAACCACCCAGTTGGCGACATTCAAGCACAAGCATGGACTCATTTGGATGGGCCGAGTTTGGTAAATAAGTCAAAGGTGTACCCAGAAAGAAGGCCACAATCAGGACCGACACAGGATTTGTTGTTTTTGCCCTGTAAATGCCGCAGCAACTGGAAATTCACTTCAAATGGCCCCAAAAGGTGATGCTTAACCCCGGGGGACAAATATGGACCCCCCCAACACGAGTCCAAACATCTGCAAATTCCACAACAATTCCCACAAACAAATTCTGATGTTCCTCGCCATTGCACAACCCGAGAGATTCGAATCGTCCATTCTGTGTAGATGATTTATCCCAGCATTCATAAGCTTTCTCAAGCTTCCCTTTTTGGCTGGCATTGAAGCAGCCGTTTTAGGAACACCCATCCCAGCCTTCCATGTAGAAACGCTTCTGAAGTCTCGAAAGGCCTTCTGGGAGATGCAGAAGCAATCTCTTCTTTCATGATTGTTTCAAGGGAGAAATAGACTGGCTCTACGTGATTCTGCATTTCAATTTAGAGAAGGTGATCTTGGATTTCATGTTTCAAGGGACAAATAGAGACGGACCCGCGACCAGTTCTTTGCATTGAATTCTTAGCAATTGGACTTGAGTTCCCTTCGGGTGTCTTGCGCCATTTGCGACTTGCGCGATGGCCTTTGGCAGGTGTATACAGATTTGACTGCGCTCCGGACCATGATGCAGGAGTCGCAGGAGTGAGCCGGCCTGGAGTCAGATTCGCAGGGGCTCAGAGGAGCAGCTCCAAGTTGCGTATATATTTGTGTATAGCTATTTTGTGTGTGTGTCTTTGTTTGGGCTGTGTTTTTTGGGCACCGGGGTGCCCGTTTTGTGGGTCCGTTGCAAGGGAAAGCAACAGGAAATCCACCAACTTTGGAGGTCCCCCTTTGTTGACGTGTACCCAGCTGGCGGCTGGCGGTGGGTGGCGTGCACTTTTCAGGAGTTCAAGCTGGTGATCGAGACTCCGGGCATTCAGCCCGAGAGCAAGGCTGTTGGGAGTTGTTATCTGGCGAGTTAGCCTGTTTTGCCGAATAATACTGTGGATGGACGATATGCTGCATCACCTAAGAAACCCTGGAATGAATGATTCCCCTATAAATAGCAGCGCACAATGGCTTCCCATGGTTTCAACCTGGTGCAGGATTTCGTCCATCCGCAGTATGTTGTTCCCTGAGCATTCGTTTGAAGCATATCCTAAAGCTAGCTTTAATGAACTTCACAGAGCTCGGATTTCTGGAAATGTGCTTCTAGGTCCCCCAGTAGTGCCCTTTCTCTTCCCTGTTTTTGGTGCAGGGTTCCCCTACTAAATTAGACGTCCTGAAACAAACATCGGGTACCAACTCATTCTAACCTCGCAAAGCTGGAGGCCCTAGGCTTAGAACCAAAGCATATGGCTGTGGTTGTCAAAACCAATGGGATCCCATTTTGGGGGATAGGTGAATTCACCACCCATTTGAGGCTTCCTATTTGAGTGGTTGGATTGAATCGGATGTTCACTGGATTTTGGGTACGATTTGGCTTTTGTCCCATGGCCTATATGTTTCGTTGGCGCAAAGCGCGCGCTTGCGACCAGGTGATGGTCTTCGAAGCGGTCTGCAGCAAAGGCGGCATCGATGGCGCCGTGGTGAACTTCATGAAGGCTGCGATATGTGTGTGCCTTTCTTTTGTGTATATATATATATATATATATATGTATGTATATATATATATATATATATATGAGATAACATGTTCTGTTTTTAGTTTTGAGATATCCTTTTTCTTTTTTCTTCTTTTTTTTGGATAACCTGTTCAGGTTGGTTTTTTTCAGGGACGCCGAAAGGAGAGCCCCAATAAAAGGGGAGGTCCGCCCCCGATTTTAGCACAAGCTGTATCCATTTTTCTGGTGGTTTGTGGTTTGGTGGTTTGGGGTTATTTGAACCACTTCTTGAGGCTGGGCAACCAGGATCGAGCTTTTGCCTGGGACCCTCAACACATCAGCTAGGTGGGGATTCAAGTCCAGCAACCAACCCTTGAGGCTCTCTATCAAAACAATCATGGCGAGATGAGCAACGATGCCATATTTGCTGTCATCTGCAGGGGATGACATGGGGGCAAGCGAGCAAAAACGAGATACCCTTGAATTGTGCTTACTCACCAACACACCTCTACTCTTGATGTGTTTTGGCCCTGAGTTGCCGGCAATACTAAAATCAGCCCGCTATGTGGTGAGTCACCAAACATCCAGTGTGATTGGGGAGCGAAATTACTATTGACTTTGGCTCATATCATGGACCACTCCGGTGGGGGCCCTCTCCTTTTTTTTCGGGCTGTATGGGGTTAACTAGGGGAAGGCTCCCCCCATCGCCCCCCCCTTCGAGATCCATGACAATCTTTCCTCTTGCGGTTTATCATTCGTATGAGCCCGCTGGTTCCATGTGGCTGTGTTGAAACGTCCAGCTTCAAAGCGTTGTTGTTGTTGTTGTTGTTCTCAGGGTTCCACTTTTTGATTACCCCAGGGTGGTTCATGACCCTCAAAGGGGTTCTGCACCCCTGGGTTTAAGTCTATCTTGGGTAGTCAAAAAGTGGAACCCGGGTTGTTCTGTCGGTCCACTTCAATACAGCCTCCCTGCAGCCTGGGCTTTGTCGTCAAAGCAAACCCCTTAGCCCAGCGCTTGCCAGGTCCTGGTAGAGAACAAGCGCGCCCATTTGCTCTCGCGCATGATTGACATCTTTGAGGCGCAGAGCCCACACGCAGAAGGATCATGGCTCGTCATATGTGCGTCCGTGTTTTTATATATATATATATGGTACAGCGTTGCCAGCCCCCCCCCCCACCAATGGTCATGGGTCAGGCAAGTCCCCCCCCCCCCTGTGGTTGTGGTCCTGTGGTTGGGTTGTGGTGGTTTAGGGTTGGTTTCGAATTGGTTTAGGGTATATTTAGGGTGTATTTAGGGTTAGTTTAGGGTTGGTTTAGGGCTGGTTTATGTTGATTTAGGGTTGGTTTAGGGTTGGTTCAGGGTTGGTTTAGGGTTGGTTTAGGGTTGGTTTAGGGTTAGTTTAGGGTTGGTTTAGGGTTGGCTTAGGTTTAGGGTTTATTGTTTAGGGATTGGTTTAGGGTGCATTTGGGGTTAGTTTAGGGTTGATTTAGGGTTAGTTTAGGGTTGGTTTATGGTTGGTTGCGGGTTGGCTTGTCCTGGGGGTGGGGGTGTCGGGGTGTCGGGGTGCGAGTTCAGGGGGTCGGGGTGGGGGTGGGACCGTAGGTGACAGGATCCGGGGGCTCGGGGTCTCGGGCCGGGCGGGGGGGGGGGTCCTGGGGGACCCATACCATATGGGGGGGGGGGGGGGGGGGGGGGGGTAGCAACACGGGACACGGGACCATATATATATATATATATAGGTGTATATATATATAGGTGTATATATATATAGGTGTATATATATATATACATATATATATATATATATGTGTTTTAAGAGCACCCTTTTACGGGGTTGGTTTGATCCCCTGTTTTGACACAGACCCAGCGACATGCATTTACTTGTAGCTGCTTTGTCACTTTCTTTCATGATGCCTTGTGACCTTTGGTTTTGAGATGGAAGATACCCGTGACTATGATTATTAGGCACCCGTAAGTTGAACGAGGCACTTGCAAGGGTATGGCGAGATCCCTAATTTAGAGCAATTGACTTCGCTCGGAAATTGCAAATCCTGTCACTTGCAAATCCTGCCGCCAGAACTTTTACCGCGCTGAGAAAGGCCTGCTGCTCTGCAAGGCTTGGGAGATTGAAGTATCGACTGGCACGCCGATTTGCCATTCTATGCGGGTTGCCTAGCCGCCTCCAAAAGGCGAGTTGTTTTGTTTGTTTGATGAAAACTCGGGGTTTTATAAGAATGTTTATGGCCAAGTTTCTGCAGGGCGGACTTTTCGCTATTTTCTTAATGTTTGGAATTGCGCGCTCAGGTCGAGCTGTGTTGAGCAGAAACGCGTGCATGTGGACAAACGACGTGTCTTCGTGAGCCGCTGGAATATTGCTGCAGCCGTTGTGGGCAAGAAAACAAAGTATTATAATCACATGACCTGCTTGAAAGGCCACCTTTGCTGCCAGCCCACCTCTTGTCGTTCAGCCCTCCGTCCGCGGATTGTTGTCACGGACTCCAGTGTTTTAGCACATGGGGTCGGCGAATCTTTGTGGTGACGGGGTGCAAGCATGCCGCGGATTCTCCGCGGACTTCTCTTACGTGGGGTTTCCCCTTGACATAAACATCCCCGGAGAATGAGTCCCCAAGAAAATCCCTGGTGTGCTTGGACTTACTTTTTGCAGCGGCCTATATCAATTATCCCCCCCCGGCCCTTCCCCACAGAAATCCCCGGTGTTATTCTCTAAAATGAAAAGAACCCCCCCCCCGCTCGTACTAGACGCCTTTAGTGTGTGGGGCTGCTTTGCTTGACTCGTTCCTTTTCGTGAGGCAATTTGGCTACAGTGACCTTGTTTCCTTGGAAATAAGAAAGTGCAACAGACTAGGGCCCTCTTCGTTTTGGCTGCATCTCATCATGCTACTGCCTTTCAAACCCACCAGGCCCCCTTCCCCATTTTGTTGTGCACAGAAAAAAAGAACACTCCGAGCTTGCGCAGAAGCGTTCGGGCCAAAAGAACCTTTTTTTACTTTAGCTGAATATTTTTTTTGGTGTTTGTTTTTTCAAAGAGAGAGACACCAAAATAGAACCCCGGGCTTTAAATCAAAACCTTGATTTAAAGGAATATGTGGCTTTGTATTAAAGGCAAAGCTAGAACAATTGAGTTTTTTCCATCAGCCAAGGTTTGCCCTTGCGATGGGATCCCAAGCCTGTGGAAGGCATTCCAGCCTGAGGTGACGTCCGCTGAGACCCTGACAGACACTCAGAAGAAGCAGGCGCGCACAGGCAATGTAAGGTTTTGGATTACGTCTAATAAACCCGCATTCTTCGATTTGGTTCCTGACCAGTATTGATTCTGTTTACCTACAGATTCATTTTGTTTAAACAGCTGGGCATGTGGCTGTGGCTGCAAAATGGGTTTGCCTTCTTTTGAGGACGAGTACCCCTTTTTGGAAGGAAACCAACCATGTTAGGGTTCTTTTCTATTTTGAGACAAACCCAAATTCAGCACCGGGATGTAGGCTGTTTTTCTACCAACGTTGGGGCTCAGCCTGGCTCTTTGGGCAGGTGGAGGCAGCCATGCAGAAGAGAGCGGAGGGTCTGGCGCCCAGCGTGCAGTTCAGTGAGTTCTCCATGCTGGTCTTGGACGTTCTGGAAGCCTAGGTCCCCCAGCTAGGTGCCCTTTCTCACCAACTTTTCGGTTGGGAGGGTTCCCCTACTAAAATAAACTACAGAAAAAAGGGTACCCTTATTCAAACCTTTCTGCTGGAGGACCTAGAAACAGATGGCTCTTCCATTCCTGCAATTGGTGATCGCCCTTCTGCTCAGGAGAAGAGCAATGTAGATTTCAGGGATCCGCTTGTTGCCGCAAGAAAAGCAGCAACGCCTAGGGAAAGGCTTTCAGGGCCAAACGGATCCTTCATTCTTTCCAGGGATTCCTGGTTTTCCCCCGGTAACAGCCGCCACTTACCCTAGGACCTAGACCATTTATATTGTGTGTGTTTTGTTTTTGTTTTTTTCCGAGTATCAGCCCTCCGCCTCCGCATTGCTATGTCCATTGCTAAGCGCACCTCCCTCATTGCAACATTCAACCTTTCACAGCTAGTTGAAGGTGTTGCTAGCTTCAGCGAGATCATCTAGTTGCAAGCACATGGTGCATAGATCTTTGCTTTTATTTCCTGCATAGGATTTGGCTGGATAAGATCATTTGCATCCACTTCTTGGGGAGTTTGGTGTTGCCCTTTTCGCGGCAAACCGGCGGCTGCGTTGGTGCCATCTCGGTGTGCTGCATCGATCCCAGGCTCAAAGCTGATCATGGAGTACAACACCAACCCCGCCATGTCGGGGGAACCCGGTGCAGCTGGTGGACCAAAACAAACACATGCGAGATGGATGTGTTTGTACCGCTTGGCGGATGCACCTCCAAGAAATAGGGTTCACAGTATGATTCAAAAAAAAAACATGCGAGATGTGTTTGTACCGGTTGGGGCAGATGAAGTTTATTGGAAAAAATAGGCGAGAATCTCCAAGAAATGTGGTGAATCAGTGTGAATCATCTGGACTTGCGAGTGCGAGGCTTGGTGGGCTGATGGTCAAGATGGGCGAGGCTGGTGCGTTCCAGTTCCAGAGCAAACTGGCTGGGAGTGGAAACGCATACAGGGCCCTTTGCGTCATTGCTCCAAGTACCAAGTTGAACCTGAAGAGGCGCAACTTCTCCGTGGGAATACCCCTGTATGCGAGCTTGCCATGGCGGATTCAGTTTTAACAGCTTTCGGAAGTGA